TCACAAGAAAACTACAGACCAATATGTATTATGGATATAGATGCAAATTTTCTCAAAAAAATACTATTCAATTGAATCTAGCAACATATAAAAATAATTATTCAACGTGACCAAGTAGAATTTATTCAGAAATTCAAGGTTAGTTTAGCATTCAAAAATCAAATAACGTAATTGATGTAATGAAATAAACTAATGTAATATAGCATATCAATAGAATAAAAAACAAAAAGTATATCTTCTCAATAGCTACAGAAAAAGCATTATATAAAATCCAGCACCCTCCTCTGGTGAAAACTGCTGACTTTGAAGCTTTGATAATTTCTGGAGACTAAATAATCTGGCCTTGGTTTTTGTTACCAAAGGAAACAATCTTCTGAATCCTAAGGACCAAAGATATGCTAACCACATATTGATCCAATGCTGATGTAACAGGATCCCTACTCTCCGCTAGTTTTGATGAGCCAGCCTTGTGAAATTAATAGCTGGAACACTGCTAACTTCTGGAAACTGCTGCAGCTGAGAGATCATGGACATCTGCCAACAAAGCTGCATTGTCATATTGATATACACTTCATAAGCAACATGTATGTCAGAATCAACATACTTGTCAAATCAGCATGTGTGTCAGAATCAACCTGTCAAAATCTGTATATGCCAGAATAGGAACATGCCAACATGTGTCAGAATAAACGTGTCAATTGGTTATTGTGTATCAGTTGACGTGTGTCAGAGTGGCATATGTGTCAGAATTGACCTGTGTCAGAATGAACAGATGTGTCATGATTAACATGTATCAGAATTGGTATGTGTCAGTGAACATGTGTGTCATACTCGGCGCACATGTCAGAATTGATGTGCATGTCAGAGTGGTCAATGTGTCAGAATAAACACATGCCTCAAATTTGACACATGTCTGTCAGGATCAACACACCTGTCAAAAGCAATATGTTGAAACTGATGTGTCAGGTTTGGCATATGTGTCAGAATTGACACATTTTGTCACAATGGACATGTGAAACTGATGTGTCACAATCAACATTTGAAAATTGATATGTGTTATAAGTGACATGTCAATAGTAGCATGGATGTCATAAGTGACTTATGTGTTGTAATGGCTTACGTATTATTGGTGACATACATCGCAGTTGACATGTATGTGGCTAACATCTGTAGAGCATTTCACTGTTCATAAATTTTTTTCAGAAGTCATAATTGTAAGTGTGGATGTGGTTCTTGATAAAGTTATTGTTCAATAAGGTGCTTACAACTTTTTTAATTGAGGTAAAATTTACATCACATAAAATTAACCATTTTAAAGTGAACAATTCAGCAGCATTTAGTACTATTTTTGTGTTGTGTAACTTATCACCTCTCTCTAAATCCAGAACATTTTCATGCCCCCCCCAAAAAAGACCCTATACCTATTAAGCAATCATTCCTCATTCTTTCCTCCCACAGTAAAATTACTAATCTGCTTTTTGTCTCTGTAGATTTTTCTATTCTGGACATTTTCAATTATACAATCAGACAATAAAAATATATACAAAATAAAATCCAGTACCCTTTCATGTCAAAAAAATTAGGAAGAGAATGCAAAATCCTTGCTATGATAAAGAGCACCTATGAAACCTCACAGCTAATATTATACTTAAGGCTGAAAGAATGGATGCTTTCCCCATAAGGTAAAAAACAAGACAAAGATATCCACTTTTGCCACTTCTATACAACATGGTAATGGAGCTTCTAGTCACAGTGATTAAGCAAGAAAAAGAAATAAAAAGCATACTAGTTAGAGAGGAAGAAGTGAAACTATTTCTGTTTACCAATGACATAATCTTGTATATAGAAACCCTCAGCAACCCACTGAAAAACAATTATAAGAACTAGTAAATGAGTTTGGCAAGGTTGAAAGATAAGATAAATATTTTTAAAATTAATTATATTTCTATACATTTATAATGAATAATACTATAATGAACTTAAACAGTTTCATTCACAATAACATCAAAAGAATAATATAGGAATAAATTTAAGAAAAGTGTAAAACTTTGAAAACTACAAAACATCGTTGAAAGAAAATTTTTAAAATCTAAATAAATGAAAAGACTCCCATGTTTGTGGATCAGAAAATTTATGATTGTTATGATGGCAATTCTCCCCAAATTAATCTGTCAGTCCAATACAATTTCCATCAGAATACTACCTGCTTTGTAGAAACTGACAAACTGATTCTAAAATTGATATGGAAACTCAGGGAATTTAGAATAGAAAAAAAAAATAGTGAAAAAGAATGATTTGAGATTCACAATTTTCAATTTCAAAACTATAAATTAACAATAATCAAGACGGTGTTGTACTATCATGAAGATAGGAATATAGATGAATGAATCTAATCAAAAGTCTAGAAATAAACCATGTTTGTGGGCAACGTATTTTCAACAAGGGTATTTTTTCTGTTCAATAGAAAAAATAATCTTTTAAGCAAATGGTGCTGGGACAACTAGATAAATAACACACCATATGAAAAATTAACTTAAAAATGGGTCAAACTCTTAGAAGAAAACAGAAGTAAATCTTTCATTGAATCTGACAATGGATTCATAGCTATAACATCAAAAGCACAAGTATCAACAAAAATGGGTCAATTTGGATTTCATGAAAACTTTTGTGCTTCAAATAAATCTATCAAGAAAATGAAAATAGAACCGGCAGAATGGGAGAAAATAATTGCAAGTATCTGATGAAGGGCTTATATAGACCTCTTACAACTCACACTAAAAAAGACAACTCAATTTAAAAAGTTCAAATGATCTGACTAGACATTTCTCCAAAGAAGATAAACATGGCCAGTGAACACATGAAAAGATATTCAGCACCTTTAGTTATCAGGGAAATACAAATTAATAACACAGTAACACACACTATGATGACTGGAATGAAAATCAGATAACAGGTGTTGATAAGAATGTAGAGAAATCAAAATCCTCCTTTGATGATGGGAATATAAAATCATTCAGCCTTTTTGGAAAAGTTTGGCACTTCTTCAGAAAGCTAAACATAGAATTATCATAAAAGTACTTTGATAAGCTGCAAACTTGACCCTATTGTAGATTCTCCAGTTTTAGTGTTAGAGTTTCATATTTCTTACTATAAAGACTACTCATTCTTAAATAATTAAGAACATAAACATTAATTAAAAAGTCTCCTTTTTTAACTGAGATGTCAGGCTGTCATGTATCTTTTGATGGTAAGCATACACCAAGGCAAGTAGCAGAAATTCCCAAAGTTTTCAGAAGCAATGCTATGTTATCAGTTCATGATTAATTTTGGTTTGAGTGCATTAAGGTTTTCAACTGATAAGAGGATCAGTTTTAGTTATAATTTTCTTTATTGTTTATTATCAATTTATTTGGTTGTGTATTCAGTTACTGACAAAGTGTACTGACGCACATTGACATCAATATTTCAATCTATGCTTTCTCTGTAGCTAGACTTGACTCTGATTAATTATGTCAGATATACTTACGTTGCTAAAGCAGTTGTATACATAATCCCCAAAATGTTTGTCCAGGAATACTTCTGTATTACCACCAAATTGTTTTTTTCTTCTTACTGTTTCAATGACTATATTCGGGATCATAGAGGCTGACTCCCTCCAAAGGAATATATTTAGTACCAGAACCAAGCATAGTCTGACACACACAAGCCAATAATAAAAGAATAGAATAGTGAGTCATCATCAAATTCTTGTTCTACTAAAAAGTGAGAACAATTTGGGTAGTTGGACTGTGAAGTCATTTTCTCCAATCAAATAGATCCTAGACAAAAATAAATCATGCATTTGAGCATGGCTCAGACAACTTTTAAGAAACTTGGCCCTAAAAATAATGAAGAAAAGGAAAGCTGGTATAGCTAAAGAAGAAGTTGGGGGTCCAAGGATAGCCTTTCTTTGGGGAGACAGAATATACTTTGTGCCAGGCCAGCACAACCCGGGGGGGGGGGGGGGGGGGGGGGTGGCGAAAGGATGTAGAAACGATCGAAAGAGAATAAGCTGGGTCAGTGATGGTGAACCTATGACACTCATGGCAGAGGTGACACGCGAACTCATTTTTTTGGTTGATTTTTCTTTGTTAAATGGCATTTAAATATATAAAATAAATATCAAAAATATACATCTTTGTTTTACTATGGTTGCAAATATCAAAAAATTTTTATATGTGACACGGCACCAGAGTTAAGTTAGGGTTTTTCAAAATGCTGACACACCAAGCTCAAAAGGTTCGCCATCACTGGTCTGGGTGGATCTCCTGTGCCTGGCTGTGGCCACAGAGAGGGATCCAGAGGGCAAGCTGAACCTTTATTTTATAGCCAGAGGTAAACAAGGGAGTGGTCACCATAGTTGCAATGTTCTTGTGAGTTTCACTTGTTTTGGCAGCACTTGCTGCACCTCCCACAGCCCATTAGCTACCCAGATAGGATCTAGGAAGACTCATAAGGTCAAGCTTAATTATGCTAAGAGGGCTGTGCCCTCTAAACTGGGACTTGTTTGTGGATTTGCTAACAGGTCAGTCAGAGGCTTAACCCTATAGCCGCTCCCTACAACATTGGAACATGTTTATAAGCTTAGGAGACAACCATTATCAGGCAAGATGCTGAAGATGAAGGGGAAGGGAGAATAAAAGATGGAGCAAGATTCCCAGAGGTGGATCAGAAAGATATCAAGTGCCCAGGAGAAAATAGAACTTTAGTATAAAATCTATGACACTAAATACTCATGAACTATTCACTATAATGATTTAGATCAAGGTGCCAGTGAAATGTTACAGTGTGACAATGTTCATTACTGCCAATGAATCCTTAGTAAAATCTATTCTAGCCCCTTACAAAACTAAATTTTAGCCTAGACCTATCAATAAACAACTTTAAAATGTATAATAAAAATTTCCCGTTTTATTTTTGTCACATTTAAATAATGTTCTCTCTTTTATATATATGTATAGATACGACTCCTCCTTATTCTGAGCCAGTGTACATCCCAACAGGCCTAGAGATCGAACCCATTTATTCAAACTCCAAGGAAGATACGGTAGTCTATCTAGCTGAAGATGGTGGGTACATAATGAAATATGTTGCTATACAAATGTAATTTGGTACCTGGGCTAACCTCTTAGTTATATTTGTTTTGCTGATTATAGTGAAAATTGCAGATTACCAGGAAATCCCTGTCCCCATAAAAATGTTGGTAAAGCCCTAGCCGGTTTTGCTCAGTGGATAGAGCACCAGCCCGCACACTGAAGGATTCCAGTCAAGGGCACGTACCTTGATTGCAGGCTCGATTCTGACCAGGAGGCAACCAATCAGTATGTCTCTCATCAATGTTTTTCTCTCTCTGTCTCTCCCCCTCCACTGTCTCTAAAAATCAATGGGAAAATAGCCTCGGGTGAGGATTAACAAACAAAAATATATATTTGGTTAATATTGATCCAAATGTTGATTTAGTGCTAATTATATTCTTGAAGGTGTATTTCAGTTCATGTAAAGTTACTTTAAAATAAAAGATCATATTGGCCATTAGAATGGGGTCATATTTAGAAGGAATTAGGCTTCACATCAATTTTCAAAGGTAAATCCAGTGGGGTGCTCTGCAACTATTGTTGCCTCTCTGTTGACAGGTTATTTTCATGCAATCTATCAGATGTGTGGGGTTTGCTTTTTTTCCATTTCATGCCAGTTTGGTGGGAATCCTATCTTTAAAAGAGGAACACACCCACATTGCAAATAACATCTAAGATATATCTCAGAAGGGTGATCTATATTTGTATTTTGAGAGCTCTAGTAATCAAAATCTTATATCTGGTTTATGATAGGATATGCTGATAATCAAACATAGACATCTCAGCCTATATCCTAAACGGTGCTACTCCTGATACACCAACATGAGGAAGTATGGGACTCCTGCACAATGTCACCATCAGAGTTCTATGTCTTACAGTAGATGTTAGATACCTTCCAGGGAACATACGTATTTTATTTAAAGGGCTGGCAAAACAGATAAATTCACAGGGATTGTTTCCTGTAGAGTAAGCAATTCTAGAAATCATTTACTCACATCTTTTTTAACAGCTGGAGTGAGAGAAGCACCTCTGATTTTTCTAATTTGATTTTAAATATTCTTATGGCTAAATTTTCAAATATTTGCATGGCTAGTAGTAGAACTTCTACACATAACTTAAATGAGATCTGATAAAAAATTGAAATAGTCAGGGTCTTGTTGGGAATTGGATGGCATACTTGGAGTAATTTTTATTAGTTCAGTATAAGTATAACTTAGAATGGACAGAGGTAAGAGAAACGAGCAAGGGATGGTGAAGCAACATAAGACTATCAACAGAGCAGAACCATTATATTTCCTTGGCCTGAAAGGATAGACTGATAGATGGTTTTTAGACATGTAGCTGTTGGATGGGGAAGTCCCCAAACAACTGGCTATATAGAATTCTGGTGGACAACTTTTCTTTCATAGATTTATTTCTTTAAATATATGTTCCAATGTCTTGTGACATCTGTTGTCTTTAATAAAAGTCAGCCATAATTTATATCATTGTTCCCTATTTATGGTGTGTCTTTTTGTCTCTGGCTGTTTTCAGCAAATCTAAGCTTGGCCTATATTTGGTTATCTTTATATTTATTCTGCTTGGAGTTTCCTGATCTTATTGGATCCATTGATTAATAGAGTGCTTTCCCCTACCCCATTTGAGAAATGTTCAACCATTATTTCTTCATATATTTTTCTATACTATTCTTTCTTTTCTGCCCTTTGGAATTCCAGTTACATATATTTTGGATTTCTAGCTGTGTCCTACATGTCCCTGGATCTTTGTTGATATTTTTGTCCTCCTCTGTCCTTGAGTTTTTGTTTTTAAGTTCACAGTCTTTCGTCCACAGTCTTCAGTATGTCTTTTAAGCTTACTCTATAGAGCACCAGCCCGCACACTGAAGGATTCCAGTCAAGGATTCCAGTAAATCTTTCATTTCAGTTATTGCACTTTTTACTTCTAGAATTTCCATTTGATTTTTTTAATAGTTTCCATTTATATTAATCTGCTTCTTTATTATCTCTTATCTTTTCCTTTAAGCCTTTAAACATGTTTTCTGAGTCCTTTGTAAATCCCATCTAAGTTATCTTGAGGGATGTGTGTGTGTGTGTGTGTGTGTGTGTGTGTGTGTGTTTCATGATGGATCATATTTTCCTGCTTCTCTGCATGCTTCATAATTTTTTTATCATATGCAAGACATTGTGAAAGATATGTTGTAGGAGTCAATATTGTTTTTAAAACTTATGTTGAATTTTGTTCTGGTAGGCAGCTAAATTGCTGGTAGGTGATTATATATCTTTCAGGCTGGTTTTATTTATTTATTTATTTGGGCTGATTTATTTTCATTTTGTCCTTAGTACTAGGTCATGGCCTTTACTCTTAGATGCGGTTCTTATGCCTGATGTGCAGCCTTTCTAGAGTCATGATGAAATGTCTGAGGAGCTTAGTGCAATCTTTCCACTGTGGATATGTTGTAATTCCAGTATATTCTATAATTGTATATCCTCTATTATCTCACCCCCTATTAGCACTCTTTCCTACCTTACTTACTCCCATCCTCTGCTTACACAGCCAAGCCCTCAGCAAAGGACTGGGGAAAAACCATGTAGACTGTTGAGACCCTCTCTCTATGTAGCTGTCTTCTCTCTCGTGCCCTGCCTCACAAATTCCAGCAGCCCCGAGCAACATCTTGCCTCCTCAGCCCAGCAAGACTGTTACACTATTCATAAGTGCCTCCTTCCTGAGGTATGGTTAGAAAGTACTCACAGGAAGAAAACCAGGGTTAAGCATGGGCTTATTTGGTGTATTTATCTTCTTTTCAAGAATCCTATATAGTTCTGGTCTATGTATTATCAAAAATATGAAAAGAAGTTAGCTTATATTTCTTATCCAGTTTTATAGTCATTTAGGTGAAAGGTCAAGTTCAGAATCAATTATCCTATATAATAAAAGCCTAGGTGGCGTCGCACGATGCCCTTGTGTGACATCATCACAAGATGGCCGCTGTGATGTCACAAGATGGCCGCCACAAGATAGTCACCACAAGGTGGCTGGCAGGGGAGGGCAGTTGGGGGCGACCAGGCCTGCAGGGCAGGGCAATTGGGGGTGATCAGACCAGGATCGGAGGGCAGTTGGGAGCCATCGGGCTGATAGGGGAGGGCAGTTGGGGGTGATCAGGCCGGCAGGGGAGCAGTTAGGCATCAATCAGGCTGGCAGGAGAGCAGTTAGGGGGCGATCAGGCTGGCAGGCAGAAGCAGTTAGGGGCAATCAGGCAGGCAGGCAAGCAGTTAAGAGCCAGCAGTCCTGGATTGTGAGAGGGATGTCCAACTGCCGGTTTAGGCCCAATCCCTGTGGGTCCCAGATTGGAGAGGGTGCAGGCCGGGCTGAGGGACAACTCCCTGCCCCTCCCACCCCGTGCACAAATTTCATGCACCGGGCCTCTAGTTTCATATAACCAGAAGTGGAATGAGTATTCTTAATGTGAGTAGCGCATGAATCTATTTTAGGCATTGCTTTTCTTGTCAAGGACTCTTAGATTTTCTTGCTTCAACATAAATCTATTACTGGTATCAAATTACTTTACAAATTAAAATTCTTAGTGCCACTTCACTTATACTGTGGCTGCAAGCTCTATGCAGAATAGCATATACTTTAGACATGGTTTGATGTCTTTATGGCCTATTTCTCTCATCAGCTTACAAAGAGCCGTGCTTTGTATATTCTCGAGTTGGGGGCAACCGAACAGCCCTGAAGCAGCCTGTGGATAATTGTGACAACACTTTGATGTTTGAAGCAAGGTTTGAGAGTGGTAATCTACAGAAGGTAGTCAAAGTGTAGGTTTTAATTATGTTTATTTGAGGAACTAGACCATCAACTATTTATTAGTTTTTGTATTTGGTACGTTAAAATCTTAGTATCCATCACTGAACTTAACTCCTTGAAGTATAGATGGTAATTAGAGATATGAAAGGTTCAAATAATTTTGATATTTATGCTTAAAGTAAGCATATTTCTGCGTTTTCAGTATGCCAGTATGAATTGTCTTTCTTACACACACACACACACACACACACACACACACACACACACACACAGTGCATGGTGCTGAGGAACAGAAATTACTTGGTAAAGAAAAAAGTCACAACTAACCAAGTAAGTTTGATGTATGTACATATTATAAATAATACACAGTAAAGTTATTTTAGCCTTTATATAAGTATTCTCAATGACTCAGTATGGGAGATACAAATAGTGATCATATATCATCCTCAAAGTATTTACAATTTTATAATCTGTGTGGTCGTATTAATGTCTATTTATTTTTAAATGTTCTCAGTAATAGTTATATCAGATCCCTAGAATTAGAATCTAATAGAAAACAGAAATACATATATGAAGTAAAAAAGAAATATTGGACTTTAACTCAGTTTAAGAACTCTTTAATCATTTTTATAGGAAACATAATTGGAGTGAAAATATAATTTTTATCAAATCTCATTTTTATGTGCTCTCTTCAGTAATAATAAAAAGGCTTTAAAATAAAGCATAGAAACAGTTTCACATCCAATAAAAGGAAATTTCAAAACTTTTATCTTTTGCAATTACTTGCTATTTAGGATACTGCCTAAATAAACATTGTCCAACCGCCCCCCCCCCCCCCCCCCGACCCCCCAAAAAACCTTTCTGTGAATAGGTAAAAATAATTTTCCTTATTTATTTAAAACCAAATGTCATTTTTACATTTTTATATGCTTTTCCCCTTCCTTTTTTATGTATTAGGGCAGAATATGAATACCAGTTGACTGTGCGCCCTGACCTCTTCACAAATAAACACACCCAGTGGTACTATTTCCAAGTCACTAATACCCAAGCAGGAATAGTCTACAGATTCACTATTATCAATTTTACCAAGCCTGCTAGTCTTTACAACCGGGGTATGCGCCCACTGTTTTATTCTGAAAAAGAGGCCAAGACTCATAATATTGGCTGGCAGAGAATAGGAGAGCAAATCAAGTATTACAGGAATAACCCCGGGCAAGATGGGCGCCATTATTTCTCTCTTACGTGGACATTTCAATTTCCACACAGCAACGATACCTGCTACTTTGCTCACTGCTATCCGTACACTTATACCAACCTGCAAGAATACCTTTCTAGCATCAATAATGACCCAGTACGGTCGAAGTTTTGTAAAGTACGTGTCTTGTGCCACACAATTGCTAGGAATATGGTGTACATTTTAACGATCACTACCCCCTTGAAGAATGCTGACTCAAGAAAACGAAAGGCGGTGATTTTGACTGCAAGGGTACATCCAGGAGAAACCAACAGCTCATGGATCATGAAAGGCTTCCTAGATTTTATTTTAGGAGACTCACGTGATGCACAGTTGCTTCGGGACACTTTCATCTTCAAGGTGATACCCATGCTGAATCCCGATGGTGTGATTGTAGGAAATTACCGGTGTTCCTTAGCTGGACGGGATTTAAACCGTAACTACACCTCTCTCCTGAAGGAATTGTTCCCTTCTGTTTGGTATACCCGGAACATGATCCACAGGTAAAATAAGCCTCAAATCACCGCTCTGCTTATTTAGTAAACATGGGAGTAAGAATTTTGGTCCTACAATCCCACTCATGTTACTCTCCATTTTCTTAAGATAGTTTGACTATACCTACTTAATTTTTCCCCCATTCTTCCTAACTCTGCTCCTATAGCTTTCTGGCATTGTGCCACTGGATTCACTAACCTTTCATTAAATAATGATACCGACTCTAAGACATTATAATGGCTTCGTGAAACTAATAGTTTGCATATCCCGAATTTGATTTCTTGGTAAAGCTGATGGTAGCACTGATGTTTACCTTGGGATCCTTGAATCCCTTATATGTGAAAGTTATTTACATCTCATAGAGCCTTCTGGCACTAATGTTGATCATATATTGCTCTATGATGAGTCTTTTGATTAACAGGTTTACATAGTTATTTAAAATTTTCATAAATAATATCCTTATTTGTCCCTAGAAAAATTGAACAACTTTAAATTTTCCAAAGAATTCAGAACAGTAAAATGCACATAATAGATTAAGTGTATGGAACTGGAGATAAACATATCAGATTGGAATCCCCATTATATCATTTGCTAACTGTGTGACCTTGAGCAATTTAAAAACAAATCTAGGCCTAGCAAGTTTGGCTCAGTGGATAGAGCATCGGCCTGCAGACCAAAGGGTCCTGGGTTCGATTCCTATCAAGGGCATGTAGCTCAGTTGCAGGCTCCTCCCCAGCTTGAGCCGTGGTCAGAGTGTATGTAGGAGGCAACTAATAGATGTGTTTTTCTATCATCACTATTTCTCTCTGTCTTTCCCTTCTCTTTCACTCTCTCTAAAAAATCAATGGAAAAATATCCTCAGGTGAGGATTTAAAAACAAACCTACACCTCAATTTTATCATCTGTACAATGTGAACAATAATACTTACCTCATAGATGGGAGGATTAAATGAAGTTATTGTTACTAAAGTACCCAGATAAAATCTGGAACATCGAAAGCTTTAAAAGTATTCAGTGTTTCCTAAATATAAAAAAAAAAAAGAAAAAAGCTGTTAAAAAAAAATATGAGAATTAGAGAGAGTAGGTTTTAGTATAGGGTATTAAAATACCTGTGAGTAAGAAATAGTCAAACTGTTTCTAAAATGATTTAAACAAATATAAGAGACCCTAAAATCTTGTTTTACTTCAGAAGTAATAACATTTCTTTGGGAATTAATTATTTAGAAGTAAAGGTTTCTTTTGACTCACAAGAAACAGACCACTAAAATTGAGAAAATGTTGGTTTAAAAATGTACAGTATATTTCATATTTAAGGATCTCACATGATAGTCTTGTTTTATAATCTAGTTCTCTAAAAACTTGAAATGTTGTTCAGTGACTTTATGTTGATCTGTTATTAATTTGAATTTGTTGGGCACCAAATGAGAAAGGGGCAATAGGTTAATACCTGTAACTGACTTCAATACGAAATTTCACTATAGTTTAAAGGATATTATTTCTAATTCAAGCTATGCTTTGAAAGTTTTGGCTTTAGGTTTTTAATATTTTTGTTATAAAAGTACAGTAGTCTACCATCTGCAATTTCACTTACATAGTTTGTTTCCCATAGTCAACTGCAGTCTGAAAGTATTAAATGGGAAAGTTTCAGAAATAAATAATTCGTAAGTCTTAAATTGCACACCATTCTGCGTAGCATGATGAAATCTCGCCTTGTACCATCTGGGACATGAATGACCCCTTTGTCCAGCGTATCCATGCTGTATATGTTACCCTCCTGTTATTCACTTAGTAGCCATCTCACTATCACATTGACTGTGGTGGTATCTAGTGCTTGTGTTCACGTCACTCTTATTTTAATAGTGGCTCCAAAGCACAAGAGTAGTGATGCTGGCGATTTGAATATGCCAAAGAGATGCCCTAAAGTATATGCATATAGAGGGGAAAACATAGTACATATAGAGGTGGTACTATCCGAGGTTTCAGGCATCCACTGGGGTCTTGGAATATACCCCCTGAAGTTAAGGAGGAGACTACTGTAAAACATTTCATACTACTATAAAGACCATTACTAACATTTTGGTATTTATCCTTCAAGATATAACAAATAATATATGAAATTTGTATTACTTAAGTAATGTAATAATGTTGTATAAAGTTTAGAGTTATGGAAAGAAGGCAGCCCAGCGAATGGCTCAGTGGTTGAGCGTTGACCTATGAAGCAGGTCACAGCTCGGATTCTCGGTCAGGGCACATACCCGGTTGCAGGCTCAATCCCCAGTGTGAGGTGTGCAGGAGACGCTGATCAGTGATTCTCATCATTGATGTTTCTCTTTCTCTCTCCCTCTCCCTTCCTCTCTGAAATCAATAAAAATATTTTTTAAAAAAGAAAGAAAAGGCCAAAATGCCCATAATTCTACCACCTCACAACCACCACTTTTTTCCCTTTTGAAAGCCATCAATTGGGGGAGGGGGGGTGAGCGGGCTTATATTTTATTACTTTAATATTTATTGAATGCCTAAATTATACAAGTTAAGGATTATGCTCTTAATAATATCTAATAATTTTCTTAAATTATTTATTTAAATTTACCAGAAAAAAAGTCAATTCAAACTTTAGAACCATTTTTCTCAGAATGATATTTAGCACATTAATCAAGGATTAATTCATTGGCTTCAGCACCAAGTCATAAGGCACTCAACTTTTAACAAATATTTTGGGTATTTGTGTGCATAGCACTGTTCTGGATGACTTAAAGCATTCCCTGCCCTTAACAAGATTAAATATCAAAAATATGAAAACTTTCCTTTGCAGGTGCCAAGTAAATAGTACCAATATTAAGTGCTACAGGAGTTCAGAAAAAGGACAGCTCTATAGTCTTGATTAGGTAGAGAGGAAATGAGACATGAGGTCAGTCTTGGGGATGAGGGGTAGTGTTTGCATTTACAAAGATGAAGAAAGAAGGTATTCCTGTCAGAAATATCTATGTGAGAGTTAATGGAGAAAGATGGCAGAGAACTGTTTCCTGTGTACAACAAAAAGTCAGAATTACATACCAAATCCTGTTGGAAAAAGGGTTGGGAATAAGGTAAATTTTGTCCTTTTGTAATGGAAGGCATTTGTATTTTATATATGGTTAATGGAAAATTATTTCAGACATTTAAAATTGTATATTAATAGTAATATGCAGTATAGCTAAGATAAATTGAAAGCTAGTATATAGGTAATTCTGTTTATTTGGATGTTAGACTTATAAATCCATAGTTACACCCATGAAAGAGAAATGCAGAGGTAATATTTAGTAACTTACCTTTTTCTTCTCGGTAGATTGATGGAGAAACGAGAGGTTATTTTATACTGTGACCTTCATGGCCATAGCAGGAAAGAGAACATCTTCATGTATGGCTGTGGCGGAAGTGATAAGTGTAATAAAGCATTGTATTTACAGCAGCGAATCTTCCCACTTATGATGAGCAAAAACTGTCCAGATAAAGTAAGCACTTTTTAAGATTTTAACTACTTTCACTAAACAAATGTCCATGTGAGACAGCAAAATGGAAAATCTTATTCAGTAAATTTATTTTTTATTAATTTGGCCTGGTTTTACAGTTGACCATAAGAAAGCAACTATGTAGAATGTTTAGTAGCCGGTAATTTGAAATATGAAGAAGAAAATACCCATTATCCTGCCACTGTACTTAATGGTAAAAAAACAACAACAAAAAATACACCTGATTGTTTTCCTCCTAAAGTCAAGAATAGGCAGGATATCCACTCTTACCCCTTCAGTTTGCCTTTTCTTGGAGGTTCTAACAAGTGTAATAAAGCAAGAAAAAGAAATAAAAGGCAGATAGGTTGGGAAGAAAGAAGTAATAAAGAAGTTGTCTTCATAGAAAATCCAAAGCAATCCATAAAAAACAAGTGACTTTAGTAATGTCATAGGATACACAGTCAACCCACAAAAAACAATTTAATTTCTATATACTCACAATTAGAAACTAAAATTAAAAACAATACCATTTACTGTAACTCCAAAAGAAATGAAATACTTGTAACTGCAAAGGGATAGCATAAAGGAGTTTTTTAGAAGTGATGGCATTTTTTCTATGCTTATCATCTACACATATGTTAAAAATTAATAGAATGGAACACAAGAAAGTCATTTATTATATGTTAATTTAAAAATAAAATGACAAAAACTTTGTAGATATAACAGTTTTTCAGTCAGCTTTCAAATGATCTTCCACATGAAAATAAAGCATCTTTATTCTATTCTGAAAATCTATAACATTAATCTTCATTCCTAAATATGTTTAAGCCCCTTCTATAATTTTTAATCGTATAAGATCTTACCCATCAGTATCAAGAATTATTCAACTGGTTTTGAATGTATATGCTATGTATAGCTAAAAAGTAAAATTTATTGCTAGAATTTAAATCTGTAGTCCTTAGAAATGTAAACATGTCATTTCTATATTTGAATTACATATGATTTATTTCCATTGGTCAGGAAATAAAAGCAGCTCCTGAAGTATTAGATAGAATTACTGCTTTTGCACAACTGCTTTTCCATTTTCAACTCTACTTCCTAAGAAAGACATTGTTGTCATAAAAAAAGATGGGTCTTGTTCATTTGCTTCTTTCCAGTTTTCATTCTCAGCTTGCAAGTTTAATGTTCAGAGGAGCAAAGAAGGAACAGGCAGGGTGGTGATGTGGAAAATGGGAATCAGGAACAGCTTTACCATGGAGGCCACTTTTTGTGGATCTACTCTGGGTAAGACCAAGTGTTCTCATTCATGGCTCTTGGAGTTTTAAACCAGAGACATTTTTAATGTAAGATTAATAATGTAGATAGTTTAATAGTGAGCACTTTCTTCCCACTTAATGCCTACTGATATCTAATCAATTCTATTAATGGGAGGAATAAACAAATTACCACTATATATGTACGTCTATTTCTCATTTCCCTTTGTAAGAATAGGAAGTTTTAGCTTGCAGATAGAATACCTAATTGGTTGTTTCATGAATTAATTCTTAATTGCTTGGTGGTGGTGGTTGTTTTTATAGGTGACTAATGATTTCAGAAAAAGCAATGCTCATACTTAAAATATCAGGATAGAACTGTTTCTAGTGGATTTACTATTTGTAAGGCAAATAGACTGATGTTTTTTTAATTGGTTTGTTTGTTGTTTTTTTGGTCAATTTATATTTTAATGGAAGCACTTGGTTCCTTGAATTAAAAATAAATGTAGTTTCATTTAAGAAATCTTTTAGTCACATCTATCATGTCCTTACAATACTTCATATTAATATAATTGTCACATTTTTAGAAAATGTATCAATTCAAAAGAAAGCTGGACATCTACACATAATTTTTTACTAGTTTTTAAAGCATCTTGAATCTGATAAAATATTGATGATGAAAACATTGAAATCATTACCCAACTTTTTCTTTACATGATTATTAGGTTGTTTATCACTGGTAACCAAGTATTCCATAACTTTCATATCAGATGTTCTGTTTATGCTTTGTTTTATAACTTAGGCCTACCTGCTAAGGAAAAATTAAGTCATCCTCAAGGGTAGATTAACTTATTGATGTTTTAGGTGATAAACGAGGCACTCATTTCAACACAAAAGATTTGGAGTCAATGGGGTATCATTTTTGTGATTCTCTCTTGGACTATTGTGATCCAGACCGAACTAAGGTAAGTAAAGTCCATTTGGTAACACTCCAGTCTACCAGCTAACATAACCTGCCTATGAGACTATGACAGTTTATTCCTTTTAATTTCCTAACAACAGTGTTCAGGGTGTTTTGATAGTTGATGTTCCAGTAGCTTTTGTTCTAGGAGTCTATAAATATTCAATTAATTTAATTAGGAAATAAAGTTATTTTATTATTAACTCACTTATTATTTTCCCTTAGTATTATCAGTGCCTAAAAGAATTAGAAGAAATGCAAAAACATATAAACTTGGAAAAAGTCCTTGATGATTCAGATACTTCTTTGAAAGAAATTACAGTGGAATCTAGGTAAGTCAAGATGGTGGAAGTAATGTAATTTGGTGTGCTGTTTTACTGTGTTACTTATAATATTTCTAGGATATAATTGTCGGTCTCAACTGAAAATACTGATTAAAGGTGGAAAAAAAATTTTCCCGTGCACATTACTTTGGCCAGATCTCATCAAGACTTTACTTATTCATTTAGTCAAGTAATGTTAAATGAGCGCCTACTATGTACTATACATAAAAGACATACTCAAATTTTTTAATGCTGTAATTACCCACAGAGAACTGACACATTTAAAAAGATGTCACATAAATACTCACATTAGTGAACAATAAGTACAAAATTTAGTGCTAAGGGAAAGTTTTTGTAAGAAAAGAGGTACTAATTTTAGTATAGGTCCTATAGAAAAGTCAGAATAAATATTTGATTCTTCCCCTTTTTTTATAAATTTTCAGACTTTGAGTTAGTGCCCCTGTAACCTCCAGTGGTGACTAATAAGTTTATTTGCAGGTGTAGAGTATCATTTTGAATTCAGGGATTTGTTTATATTTGTTTTGTTCCAATCAATTTCAGTCATTATTCTTCTAATACCCTAAGATGCCTAGAACTACCAAACATATACACCACCTTTGTAAACATTCTTCTCAGAATTAGAACTATTTCAACCATTCCAGTAAAGTAATAAAGCAAAAGTAACTGTTGCAATTTTAAAATGGCACCAAAACATTCTGTAAATTAAAATAATAATTTATTATTATTTTTTTGTAGTAGCCGAGGCTCTGACAGTTCAGAATCGAATGAGTCTCAGAGTTACATTCTCAAGTTAACTTCTCAGGTATGATTGAAAATTTCTGCATTTGGTATGTATATGCTAAATAGGTACTCTTATTTGACTAACAATCGGGGGGGAGGTTACAGTTGTATGATTATTGTGTAGCCGTAATTGTGATTCTCTGATTATGTACCATATCTTTAATCGTAGAATTCTCTAACCTTATGATTTCTTAGCACTCTTACTTTATAGATGAAAACAGTTAATATCCAGAGAGATTAAATTCATTCTCAAAAACCCACCACTTGTTAATGGGAGTTGGTAGCATAGCATACATCACCTGACTACTAGTCCAATATTCGCTTATTCATTTCTTAACAACCATATGTTGACTTCAGCTGTATGCTCTAGGGATAATACAGTGAATAAAATAAGACAAAAATCCTTCCCTTTCAAGTAAGTAAGATATATGACATAAGAGACAAGTGTTTATGGAGATTAGAGTGGAAGAGACTTTAGGTGGTGTTACGTACTGAATGTATATGTCCCCTACCAAGTATGCATGTTTAGACCCTGATCCCAGTGTAATGCTATTAGGAGGTGACTAAGACAGCACTCTCTTGGTACTGAGAGTGGGGCACTGCTATAACAAATGCCTACAAATGTGGTGGTAGCTTTGAAACTGGCTGATGGGTAGAGGCTGGAAGAGTTTTGAAGGGCATGTTAGAAAATGCTGATGTTGCCATGAAGGGATTTTATTTTATTTTATTTTTTTTAATATATTTTATTGATTTTTTACAGAGAGGAAGGGAGAGAGATAGAGAGTTAGAAACATCGATGAGAGAGAAACATCGATCAGCTGCCTCCTGCACATCCCCCACTGGGGATGTGCCCGCAACCCAGGTACATGCCCTTGACCGGAATCGAACCCGGGACCCCTCAGTCCGCAGGCCGACGCTCTATCCGCTGAGCCAAACCGGCTTTGGCGCCATGAAGGGATTTTAAAGAAGATTGTGGTGAGAGTTCAGAAAGAAAAGAGGGGAATTGTAGAGAATACATAAAGGATCGTATGCAGAATGTTGGTAGAAATGTGGCTGCTAAGGGTGATTCTGATGGGGGCGTCTCAAGCAGAAATGAGGAACATGTTACTGGACAGTGGAGAAAATGCAGTCCTTGCTATCAGCTGGCAGAGAGCTTGGCCAGACTGTATTTATGCTCTAGTGTTTTGTGGAAAGTAGAACTTGTGACTGATAAGAGTGGATATTTAACTGAGAAGGTTGGAGGAGCAGCTTGGCTCCTCCTGACTGCTTATAGTAAAATGTAAGAAGAGAGAAATGAATTGAGCAAGGAATTGCTAAGCAAAAAGGAACCAGAACATAAAGATTTAGAAAATTCTCAGCCTGTCCATATTACAGAAAGAAAAAGAAAGAAAGAAGGAAGGAAGGAAGGAAGGAAGGAAGAAAGGAAGGAAGGGAGGGAGGAAGGGAGGAAGGGAGGAAGGAAGGAAGGAAGGAAGGAAGGGAGAGGAAGAGTGTGTGGGAGGGAGGGAGGGAAGAGGTAAGTCTTCAGAAGAGATAGTAGGGTGTAGAGCAAGCATGTCAAACTCAAAGGATAGGGCGGGCCAAATAAACAAGGTTTAAGTTTATATGGGCTGCAAAAAAACAAAAGCTTCAATTTTCATAGAAACATAGGTTTATTTCAGTAGAGACATGCTGAATACAAAGGGCTGAAATAAATGAGTAATTGTTAACATAAAATAATAGACTATTTTAATAAAAATTAATATTTTTCTTGAACATTAACTTACCAGACACTGCATAACTGCACAAATTAATAAGTGTAACGCAAATAAACCTATTTTTCTTGTTCTCCAAAAGGAAAATACTTCCTATTGCGTACACCAAAAAAGTCAGTCCAAGACTAATGACATGGCAATCCGCTGCTAAAATATTCGCTGCTAGTATTAGTGGAGAAAAATGGTGCACCTGTGCATAAGGCACATAAGGGAATTGAATGCAATACAAATATAGTAATCAGTCATTAGCGAACGTTGTTAATTAATAATAGTTCATTATTAATAATTATGTATAACAGGATATTATAAAAATTAAGTTAGAACATTTTTATTAAAATGTTTCTTACATACCATTATATTGGCTGGGCCGCATATGGCCCGTGGGCCACAAGTTTGACATGTTTGGAGTAGAGGGCCAACCTTTTTATAAGGAGACTAGTGTCCCGGTGCACAAATTCTTGCACATTGAAAGGAAATTAATTAGAAGAAATATTTTAATATCACTAATCACCCTTTCTCTATAATAGAAGTGTCAACCAAACTCATGATTAACAATGACAGATTGAAACACACATGTGCGATTGGCCACAGTGAGAGCTTTGTTTGTATCATGCATGTGCGAGTTAACTTAGCCTTTTATATATATATAGAATAAACTTGCTTAATTAGACCTGCTTTCTGATTTAGCTAAACTTTTTCCAGCCCAATGAAGCACCCCAACTTCTCTTTCAGGCAGTTGTCAACAACACAACAGTAATTATCAACACGAAGCAGATCATTATTGTAGATCCCACAGGGAGAACAAAGGGTAAAATATTTAATTGCAGCAGTGTTTGACTATATTCTGTGCAGTGAGAAAACATGAAGTAGTTTTCAAGGTCCACCATTTCTTACTGCTTTTCATTTGGGTCAAGTTTCTAAACTTTCTAAATCTCCGTTTTCTGGCTAATGAAAAGAAAATAGGATTCCACCGAATCTCCTATATACCTACTCCAGGACTTCTGTGAGGATCAAATGAGATGAGGCACGGGAAAACGCTTCACAAACATTTGGTTAAAGTGTAAAATGTTTCCACCTGGCTATAAAGCAAGTTGTGTTCTTGGGCTGAAGAAACTCCAAGGAGGCTAGTTGCTAGGGAGAGGAAACCAGGCGTTGCTGCCTGACATCATTACCTGGTGCCCACAGTGACTGTTTCTGGGCTGGGCTGGGCAGTGAGCACATTTAGTGCCATGGGGTCTTGGCAGCGTTGGCTGTGACTTGGTGGGCTGTTGCTCTGAGGTGGTGGTGGGGCCTGTGTCCCACTTGGGGGAAGCTGAGTGTTGCTTTGTGGGCGCCAGGTCCACAGTGCTGTTTCTTTGTAAATGGCCAGAACTTGTCACGGCAGCTCCTGCATTGAGCGTCTGCCCCCTGGTGGTCAGTGCACATCATAGCGACCAGTCAGATGGACACTTAGCATATTAGCCTTTTATATAAATAAACTAGAGGCCCGGTGCACAAAAATTTGTGCACTCGGGGGGGGAGGGGGGGCCCCCTCAGCCTGGCCTGTGCCCTCTCGCAGTCTGGGACCCCTCAGGAGATAACAACCTGCTGGCTTAGGCCTGCTCCCGGTTGGCAGAGGGCAGGCCCAATCCCTAGGTGCAGCCCCTGGTCGGGCTCAGAGCGATTGGGGAGTTGGGGCGCCGCCCCCAGTCATTCACAGAGCAGGGCGGATTGGGAGGTTAAAATGCCACCCTCAGTCATGCTCAGGGTAGGGCCGATTGGGGGGTTGGGGCACCGCCCCCTGTCACACTCAAGGCAGGGTCAATGGGGAGGTTGCGGCGCCAACCCCTGTCACGCACAGAGCAGGGCCAATCAGGGTTGGGGCGCTGCCCCCTGTCATGCACAGAGCAGGGCCCATCAGGGGGGTTGGGGCTCCTTACCCTGTCACGCACAGAGCAGGGTTGATCAGGGGGTTGGGGAGCTCCCCCCTGTCATGCACAGAGCAGGGCCCATCAGGGGGTTGGGGAGCTCCCCCCTGTCACTCACAGAGCAGGGCCCATCAGAGGGTTGAGGAGCTCCCCCTGTCACTCACAGAGCAGGGCGGATCAGGGGGTTGGGGCACCGCCCTCTATCACCCACAGAGCAGGGCCGATCAGGGGGTTGGGGCGCCACCACTGTCACACTCAGGGCAGGGCCGATGGGCAGGTTATGGCTCTACCCCATCACACACAGAGCAGGGCCCGCGGGGGGGGGGGGGGGGGGGGGTTGGGGTGCCGCCCTCTATCACCCACAGAGCAGGGCCGATCAGGGGGTTGGGGCGCCGCCACTCTCACACTCAGGGCAGGGCCGATGGGGAGGTTATGGCTCTACCCTGTCACACACAGAACAGGGCCGATCAGGGGGTTGGGGCGCCACACCCTGTCACGAACAGAGCAGGGCGGATAGGGAGGTTGTGACCCCGCCCCCTGTCACACACAGAGCCGCAGGGCGATCAGGGGGTTTGGGCGCTTCCCCCTGTCACGCTGATCCCGGTGCTGGGAGGCATATTACCCTTTTACTATATAGGATAGAGGCCTGGTGCATGGGTGGGGCTGGCTGGTTTGCCCTGAAGGGTGTCCTGGACCAGGGTGGGGGTCCCCACTGGGGTGCCTGGCCAGCCTGGGTGAGGGGATGATGGCTGTTTGCAGCTGGTCACACACCCTTCAGGGTGGGGGTCCCCACTGGGGTGCCTGGCCAGTCTGGGTGAGGGGCTGTTTTCAGGCTCGCAGGTGACTGAAGCTCCCAACCGCTCCTTTTTTTCTTTTTTTTTTTAATTCTGGGCCAGCTTTAGCTCTGGCTCCAGCTCTGAGGCCTCTGCTGCTGAAAACAGGTATCTGGTTTGTTTGGGTTCTATAATCAAAACAATGTATAACTCCAGCTCTGAGATCCCGGCTAGCTAAAAGCAGGTTTCTGGGGGTTTGTTTAGCTTCTATATTTATTACAATGTTTCAAACTGCAGGCTCAGAGGCCGGCAAGGCAGGCGGGGAATGTTGGTTTCCTCCATCACTGAAGCAAGCAAGCCTCATGTTAGTTTCAAGCTGCCTGGCTGCCGGCCGCCATCTTGGCTGGCAGTTAATTTGCATATCACCCTGATTAGCCAATGGGAAGGGTAGCAGTCGTACGCTAATTACCATGTTTCTCTTTTATTAGAGAGGATAGATAGATAGATAGATAGATAGATAGATAGATAGATAGATAGATAGATAGATTAGTGTGGGTGTGAACCATAGGACTAATCAGCCATCTCGGC